AACAACAAAAGCTAACTTACAAATCCTAAACCCCAAGCATTTTCATTTTTTCATTTTCATTTTCATTTCCATTTTCTCCTCGGGAACGCATACAAACACACCTTTTTACCACTTCACTTTTGACTTAAATGCCCTCCCTCCTTCCTTACGTTTCCGTTTCCATTTCCATTTCATTTATGTATCTCTGTTTCAGCAACAGACAGTGTTTTAATTTGCTTAGGTGTCAGCATTTATTATGCTGCAAACCCAAACTAATAGTCCACGTAAAAACAAAACTGCATGTTTGTGTGGTCTGTGCGTAGTAATAATAATAATAATAATGATACCAAATGAAATGCCACTGTTTCAATCTTTGGCTGCCTGCCTGCCTGTTTTGCTTTTAATTTCTATCTTCTTTTTGTAAAGTGAGTATGAAGCATTTTGATTATTGGGTATTCTATATACTATACTTACATACACTACTTTTCTGTGGATCGCTCTTTTCAGGAAATCCATTTCCTTGCTTTCAAATTCTCAAGTGTAAGTAATTAAGTTCCTACCAAAAGGGGCTTTCGGCTTTGCCAATATGCAACTAAAAAAGGGTTGACCCACTCCAAATTTCAAGTTTTTTTCTTTCCTTTCCTCTCTTTTGACTGTAAAATTTTGGAGTCAGGAATTGAGGGTGATTCTTAAGTGGGTGCTGGAGGGATGAATGTCAGTAGAGAGAGAGGGAGAGAGAGAGAGAGAGAATCAAATCAAAAGAGAAAAAAAAAAAAAAAAAGGAGATCAAGGAGAGATGGACATGTCACGGGTTTGTCTTGAAAGGCCCTTATTTCACAGTTCAACACAGACAGAGAGACACATATTCTCTCACACCCAAACAACCAAATTAATAAACCAAAATTCCTAATATAAAATGAAAAAACTAACTGCACGGTACCCACCACACGACACACTTCTTTTCCTTTCTTCCGCTTTGTTTTTTCCATCCTAAATCCCTCTTTTTTTTCTCTCCCTTTCCATTTACACTTCCACTTCCATTGCAAACTCTGCTATCTACCCTCTCCCCTCCCCTCCCAAAAAGACTGTTCCTTTCCCATATTATTCCAAATGGCTCTAATGCTTGATAATTGCGAAGGCGTTTTGCTCTCTCTAGACTCCCACAAAGCCATCCCAGCTCCCTTTCTCACTAAAACCTACCAGCTCGTTGACGATCCCACCACCGACCATATTGTCTCATGGGGCGAAGATGACACCACCTTCGTCGTTTGGCGCCCTCCTGAATTCGCCAGAGATCTCCTTCCCAACTATTTCAAGCACAACAACTTCTCTAGCTTTGTCCGACAGCTCAACACCTATGTTAGCTCAACCACCTTCCTCCATTTTCTTTCCTCCATTTTATGTTTTTTTTTTTTAACTCCTTTTTGTTTTTTTTTTTTCTTTTTCTCTTAGGGTTTTAGAAAAATTGTGCCGGACAGATGGGAATTCGCCAACGAGTTCTTCAGAAAAGGAGAGAAACATTTGTTATGTGAGATCCATCGACGAAAAACCGCTCAGCCTCAAGTCACCGTCAACCAACACCACCAATCTTATTCCCCACTCGGTCTCAACGCTGGCTTCTACCATTACCCTGCTCGAGTCAGCATCTCACCGTCCGACTCCGACGACAACCCCAATTGGTGTGACTCGCCGCCGCTCTCCTCCAACAACAACAACAACAACGTCTTCAACAACTCCGTCACTGCCCTGTCGGAGGACAACGAGCGTCTCCGTCGGAGCAACAACATGCTGATGTCAGAATTAGCCCACATGAAAAAGCTCTACAACGACATCATTTATTTCGTTCAAAACCACGTCAAACCCGTCGCTCCAAGCAATTCATATCAATATTCAACCTCTCTACTTTCCGATGGTTTTCCGGTGGGACAACGGCAGCCGAATCACCACCTTCTCGGGTACCATCCGACAAATGCGAAACAAGTTTCCGGGCAAACCCATTTCGTGGGCGGAACTCCAAATAATAATAATAATAATGGTTCGTCAAAAAGCTTCGTGACGATTGTAGAAGAGCCAAAAACGAAGCTTTTTGGAGTGTCGCTTCAATCCAAGAAACGGGTGCATCCGGAATATGGTTCTAATAATATCGCCAAAGAGAACAACAAGGCTCGATTGGTGCTGGAAAAAGATGATTTAGGGCTCAATCTCATGCCCCCTTCCGCTTGTTAGTTCATCTTCCTCTTCTCTAATTCTCCAATTCCTTCAATTTACAAAAAAAACCCAAAAAATTATCATCCTCGGTTCTCTTTTTTTTTTTTTTTTTGAGAATTTTTTGTTAGTCTCTCTCAGAAGATGTGTGCGTGGGTATGGCTGTTTGTGATAGTAATGTAAGTTGTATGTATATAACCCTCAGCGACGCTATTGCTGTCTCTTTTCCCCATAACCATTACTGTTGCACTACAGCTCTGGATTAAGAAATAGTTTCTTTTTTGTTTTTTATTTTCAATCAAATTCCATCATTTTTCTCTTCTCTTCCGCATTCCATTGCTTGTGGGTGTTTGTTTTAATGGGTTTGACCTGGAATACTTGAGAAACATTAATGTGGGGAGTACGAAAAGGGTTCTTAAATGGAAAGTTTTTTGCTTTTCATTTCACAGAAAGAAGCGCAAAATATTTTCAAAATATTTGGGTCCAGTAATAGTACTAAATATTTTCAAAAAAGGACATTGAATTAAATATTTTAATACTCAATGATCCCCAAACATTGATGCTGTTCTTCAAAAAATAAATAAAAAGCTTAGTATGAGAAGAGAAATGAAGGGTTTAGGGTTCGAACCAGATAAGGTGGAGTGATGATTGACTGGAAGATAAACCAACCCACTTTGCCGAAACGCCACTCTCTTTTATGCTTTCCCTTTTGTCTCTTTCTGCAGGAACTCCATTACTGGTAAAAAAAAATAAACATATTTTAACTTTTTTTCTTCCTATCAATCCAAAAGTTTGACCATGGCAGACCAACGCATAACTCTGCGCCTCTCTTCCCTTCCACTTCCCGTTTCATAAATATGTGTGTTTCATGCGCACATTTAATTTCCCCACACAACAAAAAAATTTAAATTTAAAACACAGCTGTGTAAAACCCAGACTTTTATCTCCACACTAACAAGTATATATATATATATATATATATATATATATATATCTTTATCTACAACTTCCGAATATTGTAGACCTTGGGATATCTTTGTCGTGCAACGATAATAATAAATATATAAAAACACATAACAACAAAACAACTCTATGATACCTTTGTTTAATGTTTATGGTCCTGAAGCCGTTGTCTTTTCTCACGGGGGGACTCGCACGTGACTTAGATGTGCACGTGAAGCCTAAACACGCAGCCCTTGTCTTTTAATTTTTAATTTTTAATTTTGTTTTGATGCTTCACTTTATATACATGTAATTTCTATACGAATAAATTATTAAATGCATGGTATCAAAGGAAGATACCCATTTGTTATTTTTGGCTTTTTATATATATATTTTTATGTAATTAAGTCAAGATTTCTTTTTTTTCTTTTACCATTTTAGACCCACTTTAGAATATAGAGTCAAAAAGCTATAAAAAGAGAATTCCACCGCACATCAGTCATATACCTATGTTTTGCTTTCTTGTAATTATCTTCGTCTTTTTAGCTCATTAAAATAGTTTTAATTCAATTATCCTCTTGCTGAGATCTGATATTGAACCGAAAAGAAAAAAAAAAAAGTATGTGGGCCTTGCCCCTGGCCCATTATTACCTTTCTTCGTTGGGCTCAGCACCAATGGACTATTCACGCACATCGCTTTTATTGGCCCAATAACACTCTATAAGCCCAGAAGTTGGCTCTCTCTTCAATCTTTCAACCACGAAAAGAGATGAAACTGTTCTCATGGTTACTCTTAGGTTAAATTATTAAAAAATAACTTTCTTGTAGATTTTTACTTTTTGTAAAAATGAGATCAAATAAAAAAGTAAAAATAATATTATTTTATTTTCTATATAGTATTATTTTTGAAGAAACTGAAATCTTTCAAATTCAACGAGAAGAAGGAATGGGTATAAAAGCGCAGTGAACCCAATCACCCTCTCTTTCTCCTATGTTGCCGTTGCCGCGCTCATACTTGCTCCCGCTCATCAGTCCTCTTTCGATAACGAGTAAGTATTCTTCATTCTCTCTCTCTCTGTGTCTACTGAGATTCGTTGACACACTTTGAATGGAATGTGAACCTTTTATTAATGTGTTCTATGCATCCCACTGTGAACGCACAACACTGTGCCGCTCACCATTGATAGGCGTTGAAGCACATTGGACTGTCGTTGTGGTGTTTTTGGCGTAAAATCCAATTCGTAATGTCTCGATGCTTCAACTTATGTCTATGCTCTTTAACCTGTTGATTATTTAGCAAGCACGCCTGTCTGAATGGAAATAGAGATTGAATGATTCGTTTCGAAACCTAGTTGAATTGTATTCTATTCTAATCCTATCTGTTCAAACAACAGGACGTGTTATTGTAGTTGAGATCCTTTTATCCTTGTTGCGAAAAGGAGATCTAGCATACTCTAAGGAAATTGCAAGTCACAACGGTACCAGTTGTCGCTTCTTCTGCACATGGTCTTGTTTGTGCTGGTGAGAGGTTTCTTGCAAGCTCTCAACTACGAGATCCTGCTGCCATCTCAGGCTCCATTCTCTGCTGGTCTTGGATTAAGGTACTAGTTATTGTGAGTGTACGTGTAACAAAGTCCATCGTCTGTTCCCCAATAGTGTGCTTAATTAATTTTTCTCAGTGCAGCCTCAAGTACGTTGAGGATTGTTGGTGGAGAGTATTACATCAGCTAATTAAGGGGTTCATCCTAGGCTTATAAGTAAGGAATATGTTTCTATTGGTATGAGGTCTATGAGGAAACCAAAAGCAAAGTCATGGAAGCTTATGCTTAGAGTAGACAATATCATACCATTATGGAGAGTCGTGATTCCTAAAGTAGAAGTTAAGAGTTTTTCGGCTGAACCAATAATGGCCTTGGCTTCCTTCAATGAGGCTACATATATCGTTGCTGGTGGTGTCCCTGGTGATATATACTTGTGGGAGGTAAAGTTTGATTTATTTTCTGAAGGTAAAGAGTAACACAATGTTGTGGCATCGATTTCTCAAATTCCTTAATTGTGGAAAACTATATTTGTGCTCTCATTATATTAGTTGGCAGTAGCACATTCTTGGCTGTAGTATAAGCTGGCATGTTGTTGCTGCACGCTTTGAGCGTTAGACTGCTTGGCAAATGGCTTGCTCATTACAGGGCAGTTACTTGCCTATTTTAATAGCTCAACCCACTGCTAGTACATATTGTTCGCCTGCTACGTATCGTTGTCAGCCTCACAGTTTTATCCTACAGTCATGTGTGTCTACTTAGATATTATTGTCACTAATTGAAAGTTTTCTTACAAACATGTTCATAACAGAGTATTTGATGATGGATGGCACAGGGAAGCAAAACATTTGTACGCATAGTTTCACTGGGCATAATTTCCCTGTTTACTGATATTGTTGTTGGCTATGGAGGATCCAATGCTATTATAATCTCTTCCTCTGTGGATCGTACTTGTAAGGTTTGGCACTCTATTGAACTTCAATGTTAATTATATAATTTTGCGATGATGGGGCTTTTATACCTTGGTGAATGAATTAGTTTTACGATATCTTTGGTTTTTAATTTATTTATCTTTGCAAGTTAAGTACTTGAATTGACTTGGTGAATTGCAATTTCTTGCAATTACTGCAGCTTGACTTTTAAGGTTTGGTTACATTCCATTCTAGGATTTTTGTGTCTTTAGATGCCATGTGCGATATATCAAATGTGTACAGTATTCCAAATATGCACACTAGGTATTGAAAAAAAAACAGAAACAAAAAAACAACTGTGTTTGTGTTAATCATTATCATTCCTTATGTGTTTATCTGCTGGTGTACTTGTGTGAGATTCCACATCGGTTAGGGAAGAGAATAAAACATTCTTTATGAAGGTGGGGAAACCTTACACTAGCAGATGCGTTTTAAAAATCTTGAGGGGAAGCCCAAAAAGGAAAGTCCAAAGAGAACAATATCTATTAGTGGTGAGCTTGAGCCGTTACAACTTGACACGGTGACAACACTGAAGAAATTTTTGAGAAATAAGTTTTAGATAGTAGGTACTAGATAGAGGAGAACATATTTTCTCCCGAGACAACTAGATTCTATTTGATTAGCGTGTTAAAACTATTCTGAGTGTGAAACAACTCTTCAGAATTAATAAGGTGAGAACTGGTATCGTACTTATAAAAGAGTTCTTGCTGAAACTGCATCAAGGACATCAACTTCTTTTTTGATCTATCCAAGAAGTTTTAGGATGCAGTTAAGTTTCAATTCTAAATGTTCAAGAAAATTTTGAATTGTTTTTGAATTATCACCAATTATTTTTTGAGCGATATGTTGTATGTCGACTTGTCTTTTCTAGGTGTGGAGCTTATGGGAAACTATTAAGAAATATCATATTTTTAATCATTGATGCAATTGCTATGGGTCCCGATGAACATGTCCTCAAGGGTGGTGGTAGAGATGGGAAAATATACACTGCTGCGCTCAATGCTAAAAGCCCATCCAGCAGTGATTATGGTTGCATATTCTCGGCTCATCGTCAAATCAGAGGTCTGTTTTTATCTTTTATTATTTATTTTTTTTTATCATTTTATCCATTTTCTTGCCAAGTTTCATTTAGATATCTTACACTCGACATCAAAGGTTAAGTCTTCCTCTAAATATTCAAAGGGATAGACAACTTTTTACAATAAATAGTATTACTTTTTCAAAGCTTCAACCAGCCACACATCTCCTTTTTAGGTGGTGAAGGAACTTAATATTCAAAGGGGTTGACAACTTAGTTGGGTGACTTCAGAATACTTAACAAATAGGATTTGTACATAAAAACGACTCAACACCCCCAGGAACCAATTCCAACCTTTCCCTTTTCTTTCTTCCTTCTCCAAATGTCTTTCTTTTGATGCTTCTTGAGTTCCAACAACGCCAATAAACCTTCTTTCCTCTATTTCCTTTCCTAATAATCACAAACCTCCGCCATCGTTTGAGCATAAGTTCGCATGACTTTATTTTTTATTTTTCTAAAAGGTCTTGTACCAATGAAAATGGATTCCTTACTTATAAACTTATGATCATCCCCGTAATTGGTCGATGCGGGACTCCCACCTAACAATCCTCATGTCTCCCGTGAGAAAGTTTTACCACTTGAGAAAAACACAAAAAAAGGAATGCACAACTTAACAACTTGAGCTACAACCTTCCCTTAGGTCCACTTCTTTTCCTTTCATTCTTTCTTATCTTTTGTCTGAAGCTTAAATCTGTTAGATTGTAGAGCTTAGGCTAACAGATTTGGTCTCTTATTTGGTAAGAGACGAAATAAGTTAATAAAAAAGTTCTTGAGCTTATCTATTCTCCTATTTGGTCTCTTTTTTATTTCATATTTTTCATCTAATGTGTAAGTTAAGTGAAATTGAACTCGATACTTATTAACTCGGATGAAAACTCAAGGTGAGGAAAAGAATCTAATACTTGGAAACCGACAAGGTTTATCGTAGAATTACATTTTCTTTATTCTTTTTTCTGTCTTTTCCTTGAAATAATAAGAGGGAGAAGGTAGCTATTTGCTTCTTATTCGATTTTTTTAAAAAAGCATTTTACATGTTTCTCACGCGAAGAGCTTGCGTGCAGTAATAATAAGAGGGAGAAAAGGGTCATAACGTATTAAAGTTTTTTTTTTTTTTTCAAAAAGCAAGTAGACTAATAGGAATTGTAATATTTATCACGACTATTTAGTAACTCTTCTAAAACTAAAAAATTTCAAAAGAGAAAAAGCTTAAACACTTTTTTTTTTTTTTTTTGAAATTTTATCTGTTACATTTAAACATGTTTTTAAATTTATTAAATACACAGGAAACTGCTTTATTTTTTCAAAAATGATTGTTCGAATTGCAAACAGTTTTTAATAAGATAAAAACATAAGAGTTATCCAAACTTAAAATGCAATTTAATAAAATTTAAGATAAAAATTAATAAAATTTATGATAAATTTGACTTTATTATAAGTCTTAAACTTTTGGGTAAATGTTTGAATTGATAAATTTCAACCGCATTCATACATAATTTGTAAAAATAATAAAAAAAAAAAGAGAAACGAGAAATAAAGTCAATTTTTAGAACCATTTTTTTATTAAGAAAATCTCAGTAAAGGCTAAAATAGTAATTTAACTATTTTTGTGTTATATAAATCAAATTTTGGGTTGCGAACTTAACATATCATTTCTAAAACGACTATATCTTCTTTCCATTTTCGTTTGAAAGAAAAGGGAAATGGATTCAACAGAACATAAATTTAGTAAAAGTTTTGTAATACTAAAGCTGGACAACGTGAAACTGATCGATCTGTTTCTATTCCTACATCCTACTGCTTACAAAAAAACAAACTTCATACATTGTTCAGAGAGTAATGAAGATTCATACAAAAACTTCAAAGATCGAGTCGTTATCTTCTTCTTCATTCTACTGCAGCTTTTCCTCCTTGCTATTGCTCCTGGTCTCGCCAAATTAGACGCCTTTCTCGTTAAGTACTTAAACTTCATCTCCTTTAATGGTGGCATTCTTGGCCTCTTATCTAACATTTTTAAAGGTACTTTTGCATGCATGCCTAACCATCATCTTTACTAATTTCTCTGAGTTCTTATCTTCATTATTACATTTCTATATTTAATGTCTTTGCGTAGGAAAAGCACCAGTGAAGCCTAACAAAAAGTCACCGTACTACACATCGTTGGTGGGATTTACTGATTGGAGAAGAGACTTGGACTTGTCCATACAACCCCACGATAAGTTCAGATATTATGGTGGCCTAACTATGATGGCTGCCAAAATCGCCTATGAATCCGAACCCTTTGTTCAATCTGTTGTAAATGATCGTTGGAAGGTAGACAATAACTTCAATTGTTGTTCATTCTATATTATGAACAAGAAATAGAGAACTTTCTATTAAAATAGGGAAAAAAAAATCTAAAATTTAATTACTTTTCTCCCTCTTGCAGATGAAATTTCTCGGTTTCTTTGATTTCTGGAATGGTAAGACTTTGAACTTGTGATTATGTGGTCATAATTCAATTTTTGGAGGTGAAAATTGAAAATTGTTTCAAATTCTTCAGACTTTCAGGACAGAGCGACAACTCAAGCCTTCATGTTTCAGAACACAGCCACAAACGATCCAAACATAATAGTGATAGCATTCAGAGGCACTTCCCCATTCGACACTTACGACTGGCAGGTCGACACTGACTTATCTTGGTACAATATTGAAGGCGTAGGCCACATCCACAGCGGCTTCATGAAAGCCCTCGGCCTTCAAAAGGCCACAGGATGGCCCAAGGAGCTTACCAAACCCCAACACGACTTCGCATATTACACCCTCCGCCAAAAACTTAGAGATATTGTCAAATCCAACGACAAGGCAAGATTTATCATCACGGGCCATAGTTTGGGCGGCGCATTGGCCACCTTATTTGTCACTATGTTGAGCTATCATGAGGAGAAAACAATATTGAAGAAGTTGCAGGCTGTTTACACCTACGGCCAGCCCAGAGTTGGCGACCGACAGTTTGCTGAGTTTATGGTAAACACTGTCCAAAATTATGGCTTCAAATATTACAGATACGTTTACTCGAGTGATTTGGTGCCTAGAATTCCTTATGGTGGCGTCGGTTTCAAATACAAACACTTTGGTAGATCTATCTATTTCAACAGTTTCTACCAAGGGAGAGTAAGAACAAGCCAACTTTTTCTTTCCCCTCTTTTTTCAGAATGATATTCATGTGTTATTTTTTTGGGTGCAGATGGTGAAGGATCAGCCAAACAAGAACTACTTCTCGTTGCAATGGGTGATACCCAAGTATTTAACTGCATTGTGGGAGGTCATAAGGAGTTTCATAACCCCATTAGTGTGGGGTTTTGATTACTACGAGAGTTTGTTAATGATGGGAGCAAGGTTGGTTGGACTGGTTGTTCCAGGATTTGCCGCTCATTTTCCAGTGAATTATGTTAACTCGACTCGTTTGGGAAAATTAACGGCACCCAATGAGGTTGATGACCCAATTCATGAAGATGATATCGAAAGCGACTAGAACATATGGAGAACATGATTATAAGTTAAAAGAAAGTTTGGGAAGTAACTAAAATAAAATAAAATTATAAATTTGGTATTTGAAAATATGGAATAAAATGTTGTATTTTTAAAGTTTTATATTGGGTTACGAATTAGACGTCCATGATATCACTATAATTATCTATTTTGAGAATAACCTGTGAATCAGACTACTCTCCATCATCTTTAAATATGCTTTCTCTGTAGTGAATAAAGTCGCACAAACCTGGGATGTTGGCAGCACTGAGAGAGAAGCAAAGGTCGGTGGCCTTTTCCGGCTTCATAGTAGGCAAGCAATGAAATTGATAGGGATATTCATAGGAAATGATAGACCCCATAAATATTTATTACCCAATTCATATACATTTTCAAGAGCAAGATATTCACGGTGGCTTCTTCAAAATAGCCTGCAAAGATCACGTGGGCGTCCAGATCACGGCACGTGGGAGAAAACCTCAAAAAACCAAAAGAATGAGCTTTCAATCTGACTCTCAATTTTACCCTTTTAATTATTCTCAACCACCCATTTATGTTGGAATTTTAATTCTCGGTCATTCAATTTTTCAAATATTGTAAAGTATTCCCTCCCTGTGTTAGGTTGGATTTAAGCTGGAAGAATTTTCCAAGTCTACGGTTAGTCTGAGATATCCCCTCTGAACCAAATGCGATGGTCTCTCTTCATCCGGCTCTTTGTAGGAGACTCTCGACTCACTGTTCCTCCTAATATCCTCCCGTTACTATATTATGAGAGTTAACCGAAACTCCAAGAAGGTCGCTTAGAAACGATGCTATACCATAATTTTTTAACTCAACTCCGTCAACTGAACCACTCATGAATTGGACCTCAAAGCAATAATATGAGAGAGAGAGAGAATGGTCAAATCAATACTCCAAAAATTATCTCCATGTGGAGAATCTAATAGCTCTAACCAGCAGCCGAATGAAGTCAACGATACTTTAAAACCATTTTAAAAAATTATTAAAAAATTCCAGTAAAGGCGAAAAGTGTAATTTACCTATTTTATGTTATATAAATTGAACTTATCCTTCCTTAAAAAAACCGTATCATCTTTCCATTTCTGATTTGAAAGAAGAGAAAAATGGTTTCGAAAAAGTGTGAATTTAGCAAAAATTATATGATACTGAAGCCCAACGATGCTAAACTTCTCGATCTGTTTCTATTCCTACTTCCCTTTGGTCTTCGAAAAACAAAATTCATCGATTGTCCAGAAGGCAATGAAGCTTCATACAGCAACTTCACAGATCGATGGTTCATCTTCATCTCCATCCTGCTGCAGATTATCCTCGCCGCCGCCGCCACTCCCCTCTCCAAACTAGACTCCTTCCTCGTTAACCTCTTCAACTTCATCTCCTTTAATGGCGGCATTCTTGGCCTCTTATCTAAAATTCTCAAAGGTATTTGTGTATGCGTGGCTACCCATCATCTTTACCCGTTTCTTTGAGTTCTTATTTAGGGTTTGAGGTTTGTGTAGGAAAGGGATTGGTGAAACCTAATGAAGATTCATCGGACTACACGTCGGTGCTGGGATTTGCTGATTGGAGAACAGATTTGGACTCCTCCATACCACTCCACGACACGTTCAGATACTATGGTGGTCTCACTATAATGGCTGCCAAAATCGCCTACGAATCCAAACCCTTTGTCCAATCTGTAGTAAATGATCGTTGGAAGGTAAACGTTTCTTCTCCCTTAATTTAATCATATCAATAGAATCTTCTAGGGTCAGACAAAAGAAATTGCTAGTCTCGAAAGTATAGTCTCATGGGTCGAATAAAATGGTATACTTTGTTCGAGGATCTAAAGAAATGAGTCGAGTCTCGATTAAAGAAAAGTTGTTCGAGGGTTTCATAGGTCTCAAAGGAAGTTCTATAGCGTACTTTCTTCGAAAAAACGATCATTACAAAAAAAAAAAAGAAATATAAAATTTTAATCTTTGATTAAATAAAAGAATAAAACAAAAAATTAATTATTCTTCTCCGTCTTGCAGATGAAGTTGCTCGGTTTCTTCAATTTTTGGAATGGTAAGACTTAGAACATGTGATTAAGTGGTCATAATTAGATTAGCATTGTTTTTATAATTAATTAAGTGGGTCTTAACCTGACTAATTCACATGGAGCAATATTAAATAACAGCACGTTGGTTTAGTGGAGGATTAATTATGATTATGAATATTATTATTTATTTATATTTATTATTGACAAATGCCTGTGTGGAATATGAATTGTGGATGGAGTCGTGTGATTGGTGCAAGATAACATCAACGAAGCCTAATTTTTAACTTTATTTGGCAAATTTGCCCAACAAGAAAGACTAAAATGTTGGAAATTTTAATTGGCAACTCTTTTGAACAAGTCAATTTTTAATCACAACATTTGTCTTCAACGTAGATTTTAATTCGTGTAACTTTACCTGAACTTTTGACTCAAATTTTCCAGACTTTCAAGGTAAAGCTACGACTCAAGCTTTCATGTTTCAGAACACAGCCACAGACGACCCAAACATAATAGTGATAGCATTCAGAGGCACCTCTCCACTCGACACAGACGACTGGCAGGTCAACGCCGACTTCTCTTGGTACGACATCGAAGGCTTAGGCCGCATCCACAGCGGCTTTATGAAAGCCCTCGGACTTCAAAAGGCCACAGGCTGGCCCAAGGAGCTTACCAAACCCCAACATGACTTTGCATATTACTCCCTCCGCCAAAAACTCAGAGACATTGCCAAAGCCAACGCCAAGGCAAGATTCATCATCACGGGCCATAGTTTGGGCGGCGCATTGGCCACCTTATTTGTCACTTTGTTGAGCCTCCATGATGAGACAACAATATTGGAGAAGTTGCAAGGCGTTTACACCTACGGCCAGCCCAGAGTTGGCGACCGACGCTTTGCTGAGTTTATGGTGAACACTGTCCAAAAATATGGCTTCAAGTATTATAGATATGTTTACTCCAGTGACTTGGTGCCTAGAATCCCTTCTGATGGCGTCATTTTCAAATACAAACACTTCGGTAGATCTATCTATTTCAACAGCCTCTACAAAGGGAGGGTAAGAACAAACCTACTTTTTCTCTCTCTCTCTCTCTTACCGAAAATCTATTCGTAATTTATTATTATTATTATTATTATTTTTTTTGGTGCAGATTGTGAAGGAACAGCCAAACAAGAACTACTTCTCTTTGTTATGGGTGATACCCAAGTATTTAAGTGCATGGTGGGAGCTGGTAAGGAGTTTCATAACCCCATTAATGTGGGGTTTTGACCACTACGAGAGTTTGCTAATGAGTGCAGCAAGGATGGTTGGACTGATTATTCCAGGACTAGCAGCTCATTTTCCATTGAACTATGTTAACTCGATTCGTTTGGGAAAATTAAAGGTACCCGACGAGATCGAAGACCCAATTCTTGAAGATGACATCGAAGGCGAATACTAGAACATATGAAGAACATGATTGTAAGTTAATATTAGAAAGTTTGGGGAGTACCTAAAAGGAAAAGAGAGAAAGAAAAACTGAATGTAAATAGAAATGGGTAAACTAAAGTTAAATTATAAATTTGATTCAATTGTCCATAGAAATCGTGGTTGATGTAAAGAATTATAATTTAATAATCGACTTCTTGTCTATTAATACAATAAAAATATAGTCGTTCATCCCAATCGTGTTTCATCCCAATCATTGGGCTCTGACTCTGAATTTCACCCTTTTAATTAAGCTCAACCACCCAATCGGTTGGAATTATAATGTTTGGTCGTTCAAATTTTTAAATACGAAAAAATTCCCGCGTCCCCTCCGTGTTAGGCTGGATTTAAGCTGGAAGATTATTCCTTAATCATACATTAAAATACGGATCACAAAATAATATAAAATATATATATATTAAACTTGAGAAAATTAATTAATTGATATTTACTTTTTGCTTATTCAATATATTCTTTGGATAGTAAAAATAAATTATAGTTACATGTATTTATATTTATAGCTTGAATTACCAGCTTCAATAAGGTTGTGAAATTTTATGAAAAATGCCTAAAATTATTTGTTTATGAAACAAAAAAATACGATAACTTAAAATATGATAGAATTTTTAATTAAAAATTGTAATTCAACTTAATAAAAATTGAAATTGGATCCTACCCTACACTCTTAGGATATTAATGAATTAATTAATACTCTCCTTGCCCTGCAAGGAGAGTATCCATTTCTTACTAAATTGTTTTGTAATGAATTATTTCATTCATTACAATTTCTAATTCCTTGCTCAACAAGGTCCAATTTTAGTTTTTTTATTGAGTTGAATTACAATTTCTAATTAAAATTTATGGAATATATATTTAATTCCACTAATTTCAATAAATGTTGAATTTGGCACAAAAAATAAAAACTTAAATGTCACTTTCTTTCAAATCCTATCCATTTCTTACTATTAGTTAAATTAACATGAAAATACTTTGCCTTTTCAAGTAATTAATTGAATAAAAATATATTGAGCGATAAATATTGCAATCAATTAAAAAAAAAAAAAAGTGATACAATTTATTAAAATTTTAAGATAAAAATTAATGAAGTTTGCCTTTTTTTTTCCCCTAAAACAATAAATTATGACATACTTGGGGGTGAAGGTTTGAGTTGGAAGGATTGGCATGTTGAATGACACCTTAAAACCATTTATTAAAAAAAAAAAAAAAAAAAACATTTTTTAAGTAAAGGGTAGAATTGTAATTTAACTACTTTCATGTTATATAAATCAAACTTTGGGTTACAAACTTAACCTACCATTTCCATTTGCTTTTGAAATCAAACCAAAATGGTTTCTAGAAAGCATGAATTTAGTAGAAGTTATATGATACTAAAGCCCCATAAAGCCAAATTTTTCGATCTATTTATGTTCTTACTTCCTTTTGGTTCGAGAAAAACAAAGTTCATCGATTGCTCCAAAGACAATGAAAGATCATACATAAATATCATAGATCGATGGTTCATCGTCTTATCCATTATGCTGCAGATTATCCTTGCCGCCGTCGCGACTCCTCTCGCCCAACTAGACTCCTTCCTCGTTAAGCTCCTAAACTTTATCTCGTTTAATGGCGGCATCATCGGGATCTTATGCAAAATTCTCAAAGGTACCTTTTGCATGCATGGCTAGTCGTTAAGCTTCTTTTTTTTGAATTTACCGTCTTTGTGTAGGAAGGAAATTGGTGAAACCTGACGAAAATTCACCAGACTATAGATCTCTAGCGGGATTTTCTGATTGGAGAAGAGATTTGGACTCGTCCATACTACCAGCCAACCAGTTTAGATACTATGGCGACTTAACTATGATGGCTGCCAAGGTCGCCTATGAATCCAAACCCTTTATCCAATCTGTAGTAAATGATCGTTGGAAGGTAAATATTATATATATAAATTTTGAACTTTCATTAAAACAATCTAAAATGTAATTACTTCTCTCCCTCTTGCAGATGACATTTCTCGATTTCTTTGATTTCTGGAATGGTAAGACTTTGAACTTATGATTAAGTGATCATAATTAGATTAGCATTGTTTTATAATTAATTGAATGGGTCTTAGTCTGGAGCAATATTAATTAACTACACGTGGAGGATTAATTATAATTTGAAGTGATTAAAAAATTTAAAACCACCATGGATTTATTATTATTGTAACTATAGTGGTGGAGTCGTGTGATTCGCATAAAGATTTACCTTAAATTTTTCGACTTGTTTGGTTTTTTATTTTTTTTGTTTTACTTGATCTTAAATTCTTCAGACTTTCAAGGTAAAGCCACGACTCAAGCCTTCATGTTTGAGAACACAGCCACAGACAACTCAAACGTAGTAGTTGTAGCATTTAGGGGCACCTCCCCACTGGACTCATACGATTGGCAGGTCGACGCGGACTTCTCCTGGTACGACATCACGGGCGTAGGCCGCATCCATAGTGGCTTCATGAAAGCTCTCGGCCTTCAAAAGGTTAGCGGCTGGCCCAAAGAGCTTACTAGACCCCAACATGAGTTCGCATATTACACCCTCCGCCAAAAACTTAGAGACATTGCCAAAGCCAACGACAAGGCAAGATTCATCATCACTGGCCATAGTTTGGGTGGCGCGTTGGCCACCTTATTTGTCACTTTGTTGAGCATGCATGAGGAGACAACAGTTTTGGAGAAGTTGCAAGCCGTTTACACCTACGGCCAGCCTAGAGTTGGCGACCGACGATTTGCTAAGTTTATGGTAAACAGTGTCCAACAATATGGGTTCAAATATTATAGATATGTTTACTCGAGTGATTTGGTGCCTAGAGTTCCTTTTGATTGCATCATTTTCCGATACAAACACTTTGGTCGGTGTGTCTACTTCAATGGCTTCTACAGAGGGAGAGTAAGAACAAACCAACATTTAGCATTATATTCATGTTTGGACTACCTTTTAAATATTTGATTTTTTTTGGGTGCAGATTGTGAGGGAGCAGCCAAACAAGAACTATTTCTCGGTGCTATGGGTGATACCCAAGTATTTTAGTGCATGGTGCGAGCTCATAATGAGTTTCATAATCCCATTAGTGAAGGGTTCTGATTACTGGGAGAGTTTGTTAATGACAGCAGCAAGGGTGGTTGGACTATTTATTCCAGGATTCACGGCTCATTTTCCAGTGAATTATGTTAACTCGACCCGTTTGAGGAAATTAAATGTGTCTTATAGGGTTGAGGACCTGATTGTTGAAGATGATATCGAAGATGACTAGAACATATGGACGTTTAGGAAGCTGAATTGAGTTATGAAATAAGAGTAATTAAAATCAGTGTTTGGAGTGCTTGGTTTTATAAGTTAGTGTTTGGGGCGTTGAGTAATGTCGAATTCTAAAGTTTGAGTTTAGTAAGTTTGTGTGTCTGTAGTCTTGAGGTCTTTTGAGGTTTTTGGAGTTATGAATTTGAATTTCTACTTTTTTTTTTTTTTAAGTAATTTAATGGGCGTTAAATTTGAACCAACAAATAATTTAGTTATATGGTTACAATAAATTTTTAACAAATATATGGAATATTCAACTATGTAATTACAAATTATTATGTCAAACATGTTTATGCTCCAACCAATCGAATAGAGAGAATATGGATGGAATAAGACTAGAGAAATTCGAGGAGGTTAATGAAGATAGAAAATGACAATAAAAGAAGAGGCTTTTTTTCTCAATTTTTTTTACCATCTTAAAAAAAAAAAATAATAATAATAATAATAATTTAACTTCAACATAATTTTAAAATGGTCTGATAATCCGCCCGACGTTCGGCCGATCGTCGCGTTAGCCGATTCGCTAATAGGTCGATAACCTCGCCGTTTTCTCACTGTGCTGCTTCAATTCGGCTTCAGCCCCCAGCGGAGCGCGGACCGGAGCATAGCGGGCGACTGGATCAGGCGGGCAGTAATCTGCGGAGATGGACGAGGAGATAGAGGAGGGAATGCTCATAGAAGACGAGACCGAGCCCCCGCCGCAGGAGAGCGAAACGGGCAAAATATCGCCTTACGAAATGCTGCGAGAGAGCAAGAGTTCTGTGGAGGAGATCGTAACCAAGATGCTCTCCATCAAGAAGCATGGCGAGCCAAAAACTCAGCTCAGAGAACTCGTAACGCAGATGTTCCTTCACTTCGTAACCCTTCGCCAGGTACTTAATTCTACACGCCCTCTATTTTAGGGTTTTAGATTAGTTCCTAGATTCATTGGTTCGAAATGCTTTTTTTTTTTTTTTTTAATTTTGCATTGCTAATTTGCTATGCTTCACCACGAATTTCAATCATGTTGTAGTAGATTTCATTTCAAATTGCAGCCGGTGACGACTCTGGTGGTATAATGTTTGCTCACAGGCGAACCGCTCTATTTTGCTGGAAGAGGACCGGGTGAAAGCTGAAACAGAGCGAGCAAAAGCTCCAGTAGACTTCACCACGCTGCAACTTAACAACTTGATGTATGAAAAGAGTCACTATGTTAAAGCAATAAAGGCCTGTAAAGACTTCAAATCAAAGTATCCTGATATCGAACTCGTGTCTGAGGATGAGTTTTTCCGGGATGCACCGGAGGATATCAAGAACTCCATAAGGTCAAAAGACAGCGCGCACAATCTGATGCTGCAGAGGCTTGACTATGAGCTCTTCCAGGTAGCCTTGAGTTGTTGATTGTAATTGTCTCTTTGAATTAATTAGCACGGATGTAGAATCTTTCTGGTAATTAGGGACACCGATAAGTCTGTTAGGATGGATGAAAACAATAGGTCCATGTTATTTACAAAAACTTGAGGATGCACTGTCTTCCTTCTTGTCAATTCTGTGGTTTTAAGAAATATGTTGGGCACTCCATCGACTTAAGTACTATTTTTAACAATGGTGGGTATTCAAGCTAGCTTGCGTGCCCTTAGGCTAATTCTAAAAGAATCCCTTAACATTATAATTTCAATAATGGCTTCAAAGTTACCTCATACCTGAACTTAGAACTTCCCCTATTGAGAATGAGTGAGTGTATGATGGTTTATCATCATCTTGTTGTGTTTTTGGTTTTTATTTGAAAGTTTCAATTCTCCACCTTTAGCGTACACGGTTGATTTTAACTTCTTATTTATTTTAATTTTTTTTTATTGTGAAAGTGTATCTTTTTTCAGTGTGCTAATATCCACCATTTTATCAGCGCAAAGAACTATGCAAACGGCGAGATGAACTTGAACAGCATAAGAAAAGCCTTCTAGAAGTCATTGCTAATAGAAAGAAATTCTTATCAAGTCTTCCCTCACACCTCAAGTCCTTGAAAAAGGCATCCTTGCCCGTACAGAATCAGTTGGGGATGTTGCAGACAAAGAAATTAAAGCAACACCAGCTAGCTGAGTTACTTCCACCTCCTCTTTATGTAATCTACTCACAGTTCTTGGCACAAAAGGAAGCATTTGGTGAAAATATTGAATTGGAGATAGTAGGAAGTGTCAAAGATGCCCAAGCTTTTGCACGCCATCAAGCAAATAAGGATGCTGGTACCTGGGTGTTTATTTTCTCGACAACCATTAGTTCAACAGTTCTATCATATATGATAATATTTGTATATTTTAGGTGCATCAACCAATGTTGAGAGCTCCAAGTTGGAGGATGATGCCCCTGATGAAGATGACGATGGCCAAAGGAGGAGAAAACGGCCAAAGAAGATTCCGGCAAAGGTGAACATTGAACATGCAGGGATATATCAAGTTCATCCACTAAAGATAATCCTTCACATTTATGACAATGAAACTTGCGAACCCAAGTCGATGAAATTGCTTTCTCTGAAGTTTGAATGCTTGTCAAAGTTGAACATTATTTGTGTTGGGATTGAAGGATCTCATGAAGGACCTGAGAATAACATCTTATGCAACTTGTTCCCGGATGACACTGGCCTTGAGCTGCCTCATCAGGTATAAATCCAGAAATTTCCGTTTATGTTTTGATTGTTCTGCTACCCTGCCCCAATATAACTTACATTTTCAACCAAAAAGAAGGGAACTCCTATGAAGTATTATCTTTTTTCAAATAATGCAGTCAGCCAAACTTGTTGTTCGCGAAACTCTTTCATTTAGTGATAAGAGAACCTCTCGACCTTATAAGTGGGCCCAACATTTGGCTGGAATTGATTTTTTGCCAGAATTGCCGCCATTGGTGAGTGCACAAGAATCTGCCAGTGGTGAAACTGTTAGAAGTGATATTGTATCAGGCCTCTCAATGTATCGTCAGCAAAACCGCATACAGACAGTTGTGCAAAGATTGCGCTCTCGGAAAAAGGCTCAGCTGGCTCTTGTGTGAGTCATTGATTTCTATTCAAAGTTGTAGATAATAAATGATTTTGAAGAACGATAGGAGATGGATTTGTAGCTTAGTGATCAAATCAATCATCTTTTGTTTGTGGAATTTCATGCTCTATAATTGTGACTAATATTATGTTTTCTCAAGAAAGCTATGCATGCCATGTTTACTTTTACTTTGTTGTATTTTGTATGTGGAATCTTTTCCCTCTTGTGGAAGGATCACTGGTTCAGATAAGTATGGTTTGTGGATTATATTGAGAAATTTGAATTTTTCTATTGACTCACAGGGAACAGCTTGATTCACTTGAAAAACTCAAATGGCCAGTTCTGACATGTGATAATGTCCCATGGGCTTCACATAAACCTTCATGCTCTTTGCAAGGTTGGTCACTTGTAGGCTATGCTACAAGTCAGGAATCATCTTTGAATATAATGGAGAAAGAGAAAGTTCGGGATCCTTTAGATGTTGATATGCTTGGAAAATCTGGCATTTCAAGAGAAGATATTGACGGTGCTAGGGAAGATGGGGAACTTCCTGCTCTAGTTTCATCGACATCTATCTTAGATAATGCTCAACCTACTCCCTTAAGAACACCCAATCTTGAGCATTCTAAACAGCTAACTCTAATTTCCAAAAGCATTACACCTCAAACCAATTACTCTAGGATGCTAAGTTTCAGTAAACATGACGAAGATTATGAGTTGATGCTAGATGTTGATAGCGACCAGGATGAGCCAATGCAGACTGAGCTTGCAGCAGATGACGTAGCTTCTATTCCTTCCAACGACATAACAAGAAAGACATGGATGGATTATGGGTCCAAGGAATATTGCCTTGTCATGACCAGGAACACTGATTCACCAGCCAAAAATCTTAAGTTGCAAGCCAAGGTAACATTTTGTTAAATAATTTTCTTACAGAAACTATTGTTATTGAGTTTCTGAATATTTAGATCAATAACATTATGGCAGATTAAAATCAGCATGGAGTATCCTCTTAGGCCTCCTTTCTTTACTTTGAATCTTTACACGATCAATTCTGAAGAAAACCGTGATGAGAGTGATGACTCTGATTGGTATAATGAACTTCGGGCCATGGAAGCTGAGGTAAGGAGGAAAGTTTGTTTTAATATGAGTACTGGTTGTTGACCTGGTAATTTTTCACATTGTAGATCATTGTTTCTTGTTTTGTAGGTGAATCTTCATATACTTAATATGCTGCCTTTGGATCAGGAGAACTATATATTGTCTCATCAAATTTGTTGTCTTGAAATGTTGTTCAACTACTGCATCAATGAGGCGTCCCGATCCTCTGAAAGGAAAAAGAGTAGTTTTGTGATTGATGTTGGATTATGCAAACCTGTTAGTGGTAGTATACATGCTAGGTCATTTAGGGGAAGGGATCGTAGGAAGATGATATCCTGGAAAGACATTGAATGCGCTCCCGGCTATCCTTGTTAAAAAATTTTAGGATCTTAAAATTATTATTATGTGCCTTCTGTTACTCTGCTGGTGGGGGAACAGTTTTGTGGGAACCTGACTGCCTGAAAAAGATGAAGAACGAAATTATTGTTTCTTGGCCAGTTTCTTCAGTATTGAAAATTTGAAATATTGATTCATGTAATGGCCATGGGTGGTCACAAGTGTGCCCAATCCTGCAGGTTGAGTATCATCAGCCGAACTTATCTGTTTCATCTAATGCAGTTGTTTATATGAGATGGTCTATTAAATAGGCTCTTTGGAAATGTAATTTCAGGCTTGCAATTCCCTAAATTTTAATTGCAGCTCTGGAGGATGTTATTCAGAAGTTCGAAAAGTGGGGGGAAGCTTTCGGGCAGGCACCAAGGAAATTAGTTTGCTCTGTGTCTGAGTCTCTGCAGCTGATAAACGTGCTAAATGGCTAAGGAGAGAGTTTGTTCTTGTTGCGTTTTTCAAGTTAGGCAATAGAGAGAATTAGTAGCGTTGGAAACTCATAATGTTGTAGGTTATCCACAATTACAGTTTAGTTAGTTATATGGTGTATTGATTGACTTGCTTTTCTAAGAGGTTCTCCTGCTGTTTGATTTTTTTAAAAAAATTTACTTATTTTCTCGCAATTTCTTCTTACCCATTTCCATTTCTGCTAAAAAAAAATATGTATATTTGATTTCTTAGTCAAATTTTGAAAACAAAAATAATTTGACTTGAATTTTGAGAACATTTGTAAGAAAATAGATAACAAAACAAATCAACTAACAGGTCAAGGTGTGGTTTATAAGTTTAATTTTAAAAAAACTAAAGGGTTACTATAGATCTGTGATTCTTAATTCTAATTCAATGGAGGGATTTTCATACATAATATTAGAGATGTCCACTGGATAAATGGAGGTAGCTGTTAGGATTTACAAAATTGAATTTTACAAGCACCTTCCTCAAGAAAAAGTCTACTACATTCACCCTATATCCATCTTGATTCGCGCATTTCAAGTCATACATACGAGAACCAAACAAGCGTGGCAGGTCAATTTCAAGCTTTGATATTCAAAGAATTCCTGAAATTGAATGATACTATGGTATGCTTAACAGACCTTGCATGTATTACCAACGGAGATTGCGTCTACGTCGAAAATGCCTAAGAATGAAGCTTTCTGCATGAAGAGGATATTTCTTTCTGATCAGACTCTTGATGCACTTCCAATATGAAAAATCAACTAATTCACCATCTTTCCTGACGATGAATAAACATCTTGAGCTTTCGTAATCAGGATGATATCTAATCTGCCAAGCACAACACCACCAAAACATCATTGCTATCATCATTTCAGTTGGCAAAGGCATAGAGTATGCATCCAATGCTCAAAATAATTGTAAAGAAAATGGTTCAAAAGTGAAAATGGCACTGCCCATAAGCAGGTTTTTCTTCTTTTCCAATTTCCCAGAATAAATGACATAAAATCACTTTTCTCATGGCAAGATATTGGAGTTTAAGTGAAGATATAACCCTTTTGGCAGCACTGCGAGTATAAAATCAAGTGAACAATATAATAGTAACAGCCCAAGTCCATCGTCAGTAGTTAATAGAGAGAGGTTTCCACCGTTCATAAAGAATATTTCGTTCTCCTCTCTAACCGACATGGGATCTCACAATCCACCCTCTTTGAAGTCTAACGTCCTTGCTGACACTCGTTCCTCTCTCTGATCGATGTGGAATCTCACAAGTACAAAAATCCGCACCATTGCCACTTTCGAGGTCAAACATTATAGACAAATAATTTAGGATAAGAAGCTAGTCTAATGTTTCAGCGATCATGACTGATTGAAATCAATCTCATCAATAGTTATAACCAAGATAGTTCATCAGAAGTAATTAAAAAACTTGATTGTGGACATTTAATTCCTTTACCAGGTTCACCACAACAGAGACTAGAGTACTTTCATCCAAGGAAATAGAAAAGAGGCTACAGAGTATTATTTAATTAGTCATTCTATTGAATGCAAATGTAAATTCTAAAACAAAGCTAAAAACATGAGGCATGTACAAATATGGAGACAGATATACCGTGATATAATCAATCCCACATCCAACCTTCTTCTCATAATGGGGATGATATGGAAGCAACCTTTCGAGAATTGTTTTCTCGTGCTCTGGGCTTAACCTATCCCCAATTTCATATCTGCATATGTTTGATTAAAGATGATTAGCGCGAATGGAGACCAAACTCTATGCTAATGAATTCAGGATACAACATATTCTCTATCAGATAATAGGTGCTCCATTAGGTGACACTTACATGATCAAAGCACACAATCAAGAGTATGTACTGTTGCAACACTCTTCTTTTCTTCAATTTATTAGACACTGAGTCCTTAGGTACCTAAAGTCATGATTAAATTCGAACAAATTGATTCTAAAATCAATGAACTTTGAAGGGATTAGTTGACAGGACTCCTAATTTTTGTTCCTGCTCGCTATGGAAATTGATGAAAGTTCCGCAAAAGTTCTATAATTTCAATATCAAGTTAATAGTTCCGTTCACTATCGAGTAACACGTTTTCCATTGGAACAACAAGCTCAAAATTCACTTAAAAACAAAGTAGAATAATCTCAAACTCAATAATAAAATCGAGACACAAACGAATGCTTACTTTCCAGAGTGAAGAACCATCCTCACAAAGGTAACGAGAGGAACAGTATCCTCCAAAATTATGTTCTCCCAATCAACCCAATCCTCTTCCTCGTCATCGTCATCTCCACTCTCCTCGCTGCTCTCTTCATCCTCCGATAATCCAGCCAAGTCCTTCGCCGGCGGAACAACCGGTTTCCGCAGCAAATCGGAGCTACATTCTTCGTGGCTCCGAATTCTACTGCCTTCAGGGCCAGTCTTTAGGGCACGAGTGGATGGGTGAAACGACGTCATTAGATGTGTAGGAAAACATAAGATGACTGGTGAAGATTTGAAGAAGCTTGGCTTTAGGGAGTGAAAGGGCACGGATGGCGGTGGCTTCAAAATGGACGCAATGGCCATGACCATTCCCTTGTTCAATTGAGACAAGGAGCTTGAATTTGAAACTACTGAGATTTAGATTGTAGCCTACGATTACGGAACATGGTTTTTCTCCCAATTTCTCTGAGAAAACGGAGGAAGAAGAACCATTAACGGTCAGTCACAATATCATGAATCTCATGGACTTGGAGATACTACAGAATTTTTCGATCCGCATCCTCTGGCCTGGCGGGATTGCTGAGCCATATCCGAAGCCTTCCCGTTCGATTTTGGAGCCAAACATATGGGCCTTCTATTCAGAGCCCAAGTTCTCAATTTGGGCCCTTATCTGGGCCTTGCATTCTGACCCCAAGTTCTAAATTTGGGGCTTTATCTTCCTTGTTGAGCCCCAAAGAATATGGGCCTTGTATTCTGAGCCCAATTTCTCAATTTGAGCCTTCGTCTTCTTGTTGAGCCCTAAAATTATGGACCTTGTATTGTGAGACCAAGTTCTCAATTTGGGCCTTCATCTTCCTTCTTGAGCCCCAACAATATGGGCCTTATATTCTGAGCCCAAGTTCTCAATTTGGGCCTTTATCTTCGTTTTTGAGCCCCAAAAGAGATCACAAAGCCCAGATGATATCTTCGTTGTTCAGATTATCATGAGTTATATTTCATTTTAATTGATTCAAATATATTTTTATTACTTAATTAACAAAAAATTTGTGACGAAGTGAAAAGTGATGGAAAATATAAGGAATTTAAGTAGAAAATAGTTTAGGAATTATATGTGAAGTTTAATTAACCTTGTAAATTTAAAATGATATAAAAAATTCATATCTCTGGGACTACATTAAATTAACCCTAAAATAGAAATTAAAATATTTATCTAACAGTTTTTTTTTTTTTTTTTTTTGGAAGACAGATATTTATGTAACAGTTACCGGGTTAAAATTTGGGATTTTATAGGGAAATGAAAAGGAAGCGCGCGCGAAATAAAAGAGGCGTTGACAGTTAAAAAGCGCCGCCACGGAAACCGAATATTGGGACGAGGAGGCAAAAGATATTTCAGATGGTCAGATAATATCTGCCCGATTCCTCCGCCATTTAATCAACACTTTGTTGACGTGGCACATGTAGGCCCATTTACACGTGTAAAGCCATGACAACTGTGAAGGTTCTTTTGTCCCCAAACACGGCCTTTCGCTCTCTTCCTAAAGATCTCTCTCCACTGGCCCGCTTCCATTTTTCTTTTCTCCATCTCTCTCCCTCTCGCCATTGCAAATCTGGAGATAATCCTTCATCTTCTTCTGTTTTCATGGAGCTTTTGCCTCCAAATTTAGAGAATCTCAAGCCTAAAGAAACTCGGACCGACTCACTGATCTCTGAATTAGCCATGGACGAGTCAACCGAGGCTCCCCTACAGGACGAATCTTCTAGCCAGGTACTTACCCTACTTTTCTTCTTCACGGTTCCAATTATCTTCGTTTTTGGATGTTTTTGTATTTCCGATTAGGTTTTGCTTATGTGATGTTTCGTATCTTCAATTTCATACTCTGTGCCCGTACTGTTTCTCTATTTTCGTGCTAAAATGAGAACGATATCGATTAAATAATTGAAAGAGAGAGGAAGTGGAAGAAGATAGTACTGGTCTGGCATTGACTCTCGAGACTGGAGATTTTTATTTTGTATTTTGTTCGGCTCTGTTTAGATCGGTATTGCTGTTTGTCGATGGAATTTATTGGGCTGTGCAAGAGGTTTGGATCTGTGATCAATTATTCTGGAAACTCAGCACGAGCTTTGGTTGTCCGGATTTATTATTTATCATTATAATGACTAATAGTAGCGTTTTTCTGTTATTTATTAAGAGAGACCATGAACTTGCCGCGGGAATTGCTGATAATGCGGTTTCGATTTTAGGGCACTCGTATGACGGAGTCTGTACCTTCTGATTGGACCGATGAGAAGCACCATTTGTTCCTTGAATCCATGGAGGCATCTTTTGTCAGCCAGATGTTTGATTCTGCGCATTCAGGTGGTACCGGCTCCGGCAAGGAAAATTCATCATGGACAAAATTGCACGGCCAAAGCCAGGCCGCTTCTCATGTCCACTCACATGTTGGCCAGGTTCAGTGCCGATTGTTTTTTCTTGATGAGTTTTAACTCGTTTCTGATGATGACTTGTGAATGCTCTTTTTGTTATGTTTTGTTGCTTTCATCTACACAGTTTAAGGTTCTTCGACAAGGCAGCTGGAAGAATGTTAATTTTGAACCAACTGAAGCTCGGCCGAATTTATTGAATGATTACCAGGCTCTGTCGCGCAATCCATGGATACATCACTTCAGAGCTGCACGCAAAAACAAAAATGTTGCATGTAAAAGTCCAGCCATCAGTTCAAGAAAAAGGAATTTGTTGCCATTTGGAGGAGATAATAATTCAGGACCTATGCGTGCTTGTAACTCTGATTTGTCTCGGCATTATATATACAACAATAAAGGTAGGTCTCTGGGTCTTTGTGCAGATAAATGATCAATATTGAATTGATAAAGTGTGCCTCTCCTTGATTATAATTTAGTTATCACGTTTAAGCTTGCTAGTTGGTAATAACAAGTTGGAATATGTTTGATCTGAATCTAGTCTTTACGGACAGAAAGTTCTGAGTTCAAACAAATGATGCGTCTGGAGTGAAATTGTCTTTTCTATTGTAATCTGCTATGTTCAAGTTCCGACTATGATTTTAATTGTAATTTGTACCACAATCATCATGTCGCCGGACACATGATCTTTATGTTGCAGAAATGTCAGATCAGAACTTTGTTGATGGAGAAAGGGAAGTTGAAAAAGTTGCAAAGGGTAGCAATGATTGCAATACCAAAAGGGTAAAAACTTCAGAAACCAATGATTTGATCAACGACCAGGTAGTTCAAATGATATCAACTTAGCTATCATGTCTTTGCTCCAAAATGACAACCACTGTTTTCTTTTAGGTTGTTCCTTAAGTTCCACGAAAAGGAGATGATGCTTAACAAGAATTCTCTTACAGCCAGCAGATAGCTATATCCATGATTTTCGCCAAGACGGACTTTGTAGACTACTTTTCTAACCCGGGAAAGGCTATAGATGATCAGAGATTGTTGGTGAAATCTGTAAAATGCTCATTTTGATGCTCTTGGTTTGTCTGTTGATTTAAGTTCTAATACCCTTGAGCGTCTGCAGTTGCGTAGTAATTAGCAAATCAGCAGCTATGGCTTTGACGGGGTAGATGAGTATGGTAATGTAATTCATCATATGTATAATATATATATATATAATTTCTTTTGATACACCAAGGCTATGCATAACACTTGTTCAAGTGTTTTCTCTGCTCTCTTTTTCCAGGGAAACAGATGAGCGCAAAATGAAATAGTAAGATTTAGAGGTTTATTTGAACTATAGATTTTTATACCATTGATTTTTTATTTTTTTTAATCAATTAATACTTAGTTTCTTTTGTGTTAACCATTAAAATAACATTAATCAGTAGCTATAGATTAAATTGTCGAAACTAAGTATTTTTTATTGTTATGTTTTTTTAACTAGGTTTAGTTATATTATATATATATATATATATATTGAGTTTAATGACATATGGTTGAGGATTATTATTTACCAAATATTTGTTGGATTAGGTTAAATTTTAAAAATCTCTCTTAAAAATGGTCCGTTGAAAAGAAATCTCCACTGTCGCCACATACTTTATTGCTCATTTAGAATGGCGATATTAGGTTGGCACTTTTAGGTATTATTTATGGCATGCTTGACAAAATCATGTATCTCGGGTTTGCCTTTTGCCCAAAAAGGAAAAATAGGAAAATCCACTGAAATTGGGTTGTGATCTTTGTCTTTTGTGAACCAAAAAAAATTGGTTTGGAATTTCCTTCCCAACTATAGAATTTTAAAAAGTGTGTGGTCAAAGTCCACGTGGCACTTTCGGGTCAAACAATATTCAGGCGCCAAATCAATCACGTGACCCGCTACACGGAGAATCCAAGTCATAGACGGATTCGGTTTGGGTCAGATCCGAGAGTTTCATCGGTATAAAGAGACCGGCAAATTCTTGAATCTCAGAAATCTTCCTTCCATTGTATATACTTGAACGTTTGGATCTTCCGTTTAGAGTCATTTGCGGCGACGAGAAGATTTGTTCGTGATTTCTATTCGCGTTTTACCCTGATTCTTTTTGCAATTATCGAGGTAGTACCTTTTCTTTGTTTCGTTGAATTGAATCCCTAGGTTTTGAATTGATCTCTTCTCGATTTGTATGTTGTTTGCGAGAGGAGGCGCAAGGTGCATATTCGTTGCTTAAGTTGTGTGATACATTTGCAGGCGTGGGATTTCCCGATACATTCAAGTTTCTGACCACCAGCGACTGCAATGCTGCCGTTTCTGTCTACATCAAAGGTCGGCAAGTCCTTGATTTCGCGTAGACGTGATGTCAGACATGCGATCAAATACGCAAGTTGTAATGCCGAGCCGTGGAAATATCAAAACGTTCGACATGTGAAGTGTATTGCCGGTGTTGAGACCTCGTCGATTCATAGACTGTTTGATAAGGGTCAAAAGATTTTTCATGGGAGCTTCCATGATACTAGTGCTGGACAAACGAGGCGATTTATTGGCTGTGGAGATGGGCAAGAGGGCGGCGTTCTATCCAAAATATATGAGGAGAGACGCGTAATGGGGTAAAGAAACAAATTTTCTTCTGCTTATCTATAGGTTTTATTAGTACAAGAGTTAGCAGTGGAGGAAACATTAGTGTGGGAATTTGGATTTGTCTTCTCGCTGTCCTGCAAATTTTAGAGAATTGAATTACCACATTAGTGTGGGAATTTGGATTTGTCTTCTCCCTGTCCTGCAAATTTAGAGAATTGAATTAGCTTTGTTGATAAGGGATTTTATTTATTTCTACAATTAAGAACTTGAAGCGTTTGAGGAAATTTTGGACTTAGTCTCCTTCCTTTTACGTCTTGATGTTGGCCAATAGAACAGTGATCATTGTTAGTGGTTGTTGCTGAGCTAATTACGCCTTTTTATTTATTATTAGGTATTCTCCGGAGCAGTTATTTGACGTAGTTGCAGCTGTTGACTTGTACCATGATTTTGTACCGTGGTGCCAGCGGTCAGAGGTAATCAAAACCTATCCTGATGGATCATTTGATGCTGAATTGGAGATTGGCTTCAAATTTCTTGTTGAGAGTTACACTTCACATGTAGAGATTCAAAGACCGAAGTCTGTAAAGGTAATAACCTTATCCAAAATTTATGATGATTTTCTCATTCTGAATTGGTAACTCATTTAGCTAGCTAGTGGTGATATTGACTTGGTGTACACGTATTAGAACCAAGGATTTTAGGGTGTCTCGTTCATATTTGTGTTGTTGCACTGATTGTACACATGATGTGATGGATGCTTAAAAGGATAAAAAAAATTTGGAGATATTAGGTGGTCTAGATTTTATTCCCCGTCTTCCAGTATTATAAGGAATTAAATCTGTGTGCTTTCTAAACCATTAATAACTCATATATATGAGGTCTTAGAATCTTAACTGGAAGCACCAAGCTTTAATTGCATATAGACTTGGGTTTAGAAAAGGTGAGACACATTGCTTTACAAACTTTAGATCATGACTTCACACGTTTACTTCACGTGCCTGGTTGTGATTTGGTTCCAGACGTAATCATATCTTCTTCCATGCATAAGAAGGAAAACTTGTTTGTGTTTCTTTGGACATTGTAAGATAAATTTAAACTGCACAAGGATGAAAAAGAACAGCAAAGCCTATGGTGTAAAAAATCTGGGCACATTGATATTAATAACAGGGAAAGATTGTTTTTACATTGTGTTCGCGACATTTCATTGGTACATTGAAGTTGTTGCTGACACATCGTTGTATCTAGAATATTGGAACACACATGAAAAGATATCATGGAAATTTCATCATAAGCTATCTTTTCTAGTTGCAGGCAGCAGTGTGCAGTGTTGTCTTTGGAGTGTTTAAGTAGGTAGTCTGCGCTCTCTTATCCTGAGAGACGGTGCTTAGTATTGCAGTATTGTAAATTGGACTTTGGAAATTGGTTGACAGTCTTTATTGAATGTGGAAAAAAAGAACAGAATTTTAGAAGCTGGGCTACGCTTCTTCATGCTTTCACTCACACCATATGAGCTAGCACACTCCACCCAATGGAGTCTCCATCTAACTCTTTTGTTTTATTGTCTCTCTCCACCCTCCCCTCCTTATCTTTTTCTTTTTGTAATGTTCTTGTGAGATCCCACATCGGTTGGGGGGAGAACGCAACACCCTTTATAAGGGTGTGAAAACCTCTCCCTAGCAGACGCGTTTTAAAGCCATGAGGAGAAGTCTGAAAAGGAAAGCCCAAATAAGACAATATTTGCTAGCGGTAGGCTTGGGCTGTTACAAATGGTATCAGAGCCAGACACGAGGTAGTGTGCCAGCAAGAACGCTAGATGGATTTGGTGAGGGTCCCACATCGATTGGAGAAAGGAATGAGTGTTAGGGCCCTGAAAGGGGGTGGATTGTGAGATCTCACATCGGTTGGGGAGGAGAACGAAACACCTTTTATATGAGTGTGGAGACCTCTCCCTAGCAGACACGTTTTATAGCCTTGAGGGGAAGCCTGAAAAGGAAAGCCCAAAGAAGACAATATCTGCTAGTTGTGGGATTGGGCTGTTACAGATCTTCTCTCTTTTCCAAATCTTTCTCCACTCTTTCTCCACAAGTCCTAAAGTTTAACTCATGCGCTGTTCAATTTGTCCATCTTTTGTGAACGATAAAAATTATTTGTAGGTTTTTAGAGGTTTGGCTATTAACCATACTGTTTTTACTCCTGCACTCACAACATACGGCAAGCACACTCCCTCCAATAGAGTCTCCATTTCCTTTATTCACTTTGTTCTCCCCTAAACACCTGTTTTTATTATTCGTTGATTTCATAATAAGTCATTTTGGATTGGGTTGGCCTAGTGGTCATAAGGGCCTTATGGGGATGATCACCTTCCTAGGATTTATCCTTAGATGTGTTTTCTGTTGACCAAATGTAGTAGGATTTGATGGCTGTCAGTGAGATTAGCAAGGTGTTAGGATTTGATGGCTGTCAGTGAGATTAGCAAGGTGTTAGGATTTGATGGTTGTCAGTGAGATTAGCAAGGTGTGTGCAAGCTGGCATAAATACTCATCAATATCAAAAGAAAAAAGGAATAATGTTCTTCAGTTCATAGTTTCTATTACTATTTATTCTTGTGTTAATGTGCATATCAGCCTAAAATATTAACATTTATATTTAAAACAATTATTTAATTTGATATTTTCATCTTGATTGTATAAACTACTGATGTTTAGTAGGCATTGCACTGGTTGTCTTGATTCCTCTTTCAACTTGCAGACAACAGTATCTCAGAGCACGCTGTTTGATCACTTGATAAATATTTGGGAGTTCCAACCGGGACCAGTTCCAGGGACTTGCAACCTCTACTTTTTAGTAGATTTTAAGTTCCAGTCACCCCTGTATCGACAGGTAGAGCTTTCTCCCTCCAAGCATCATTTCAAATTACAAATTTCAATTATAGCGTAGGCATTGGGCAGGAATGCAACGGACTCCTGTAGAAATCTAGTTATGAGTCTCTGACTTTTCGCTCTAAAATGAAGTGTTAATGATTAACAAAGGAGCCTCCTTTGCATTGTGCTTACCTGTGGTAGGATTAGGTTTCCCAAGCCGATCCTTCTCTAACTTTGATAGAGAGGCCTAAACTATATTCCTCAATTTTGGACATGAGACTTGATGAAATGCCAGCTGTGTAAAACCACGTGAACTGGCAATAATTATCTTAACCTGTTGTGTGCTTGAAAGCTGATCTTTTATCAACTTTATTTGGAAATCTTACCTCGATTAGAGCCTGTAGTTGCTTTAAACAAAAATCAATGATACTAACTGATTCTGTGGTTCTGTTTATCTCTTTTTATAACTTCCATTTTATTTTTTATCCAATGAATCCAGGGTTGGGATCTGTGTTGAATATGTGCTCTGTTTTATATTGCCTCTGTTTGTCACCAAATGTTCTCTTGCAGCCTAGCATTTCAATATCTCATATGGCATTCATTTTCAGGTGGCTTCGGTGTTCTTTAAGGAGGTTGTCTCAAAACTGGTTGGTTCATTCAGTGATCGCTGCCGATTGATTTATGGACCAGGGGTTGCAGTCCTTGAAAATTCATACGGCCAAAGAGCTTAAATTCGTTGAATTTTTCATTAAATCTATCATTTAGCAGAGAAGATTTAACAAGGATTAAGTTAGCAAGTTGGAATCCTGACAGAGAGCAGATACGGAATTAGGGGAAAGGGGTATCAATAAATTTGATTGATTAATGGCATTACTTTTGGGTAGCCTGCAGCTTGCTTATTTTGCTGTCCACCCATCAAAGGACATCTTAACCATTTTGATGCATTTACGTTCCTTTTATTTTTTGTTCTTGTGCATTCTCACGTTTTTTGGTTTAATACTTAGGAGTATGAATCGACACATTTATGGGATTTGTTTCTTGTTAGAACAGGTCACATGCTGGTAGGGAAAATATTATTTCAAGTTTTAGGATATGTTTCAGGTTTTATCCGTACATATGAATCAATTTTCAAACCATTGGAGTTTGTATGATGTCCACAGTGGTTAATTCTCATTTTCAACAGCTTTGCAGATTAGTCATTTTACTTTTAAATTTTCATTATAGTCCATATTCCATTAATTTAGATTTACCGAGAATGCCAAAGTTTATGGGAGAAATTATTTAGGTTATTAATTTTTAGTTTTTTAAAAAAAATGAGTTTTTAGAAGTGTAATTTTAATAATGGTAGAGAAATAATAACTAAAAACACTAACTTATTTTGAAAAATAATTTATAAAACATTAAATGATTAATGATTTTTTTATCTTTTTCATTCAAAAGGGTAAGGAGTGTGACAATAATAAATTTATTTTAAAAGTATAGGGAGATGAAATCGAAATTGAAGTATAATAATAAAATGAAAGTTTAAACACGTGGAATAAAATGTAATTTGACTTAGAAACACGCATTTCCCTTCGCCCACTCCCATGACTAGACTAACGGATGATGAAAGGGACCAGCTACAGCTCAGCTAGTACAACCAATTTTCACATTTCCTTTCCTCAACCATACGATTCAGTAGGGCCCAATCGGAGGTGTTATGGGCCAGCTCAAACATTTGGGCTGGGCCCTTCACTCATACACTACTTTAGGATCTCGTGGGCCTATTGCTTCTGTTCCTTTTGATGTGCCTTGTCTCATCTTTTTTCTTTTTTCACTTCTTTTATCTTCCTCTTTTACTTCATCCTTTTCTTTTCCCTTCTTTTTTCTTATTTGGAAAATAATAATAATAATAATAAAAGAAAAATATCTATAGAAATTGTGAAATGATTTAATTTGGGTATTGGATGACATATTATAAAAGATGGAAGTGATCTCAAATTTGGTGTTATGATGTTGCGTGAGTTGGGTGTGGAAGGCCAAGGCCTTTGGAGCACCATATCCAATAATTCATTCACTTTCAGAGATACTCTCTTCCAGCTGGATCTGATCTGTGCTCGAGAAATTATGAACTGGGTCCCTTCCCCTTCTCTTTCTTCTCCTACCTGCGAATCCACATAAGTTCATAGCATATGAATGAACTCTCATGTTCCAATTTGGGGGAGAAGAAGAAGGAACCACTGTATTGTGTAATTATGCATTTCTCTCCTCCAAACATTTTTAATAATGGGACCTTACTGTCTGCTCGAACATACAGAATACTCTCCTCTCCCATTAATTGCCTTCTACATTTTAATGCTACAAATATACTGTGCTCTATCCCTATATCAACCCCATGTGCTACCTCCTATTATTTCACTTTCGTATTAAACATCTTAATTATGTTCACTTGACAATCATAATGATGTGAGTTAAAAGTGAAGATTAATGATGTCATATACTCAAATTTTTGCTTATAATTGTTATATCAAATTTCTATCCATAGTGTGAATACAAAAATTCTTCAAAATTCTCAAGTTATAACAAAATTAAGTAATTATTAAATGAGAGAAATTACATCAAATGAGATAGATGGAGAAAGTAATTGTATTAAACCGTTAATTGACTAGATTTTGACGGCGTAGTGATGTGACCGATAGCGAACGAATGACCGGAAAGAGATGGAAATTAAAATTGGCATAGTGGAGGGGCAGAATTTCAAATAAGAAAAAGATGGGGGTGGTGGAGTGTTAAAGACAGGAATATTATGAAACAAAACATTGTGGGATTGTCATCATGTGGTTATCCACTCTACTCATATCACTTCCTTTCTTATAACTGTTTTTTTTTTTTTTTTTTTTAAAATCAAGTTAGTTATTTATATTTAAGCTGATTACATAAATTCCCTTATATTTTTTTATTTTGATACTGAGTTATATTCATTATAGTATATCAATTCATTGCTTCTAACGTGTATATTTTTTATTCTTTAAATTATTAACCCGATAAGTTATATTTACAATTTAGAACATGCCCTCCATTTTTTCTTTAATTATATTTATCAATTCATATTTTTTATTGTTTATTTATTATTATTATTGGCAATTATTGGACTATTTATGAAGTATCTTATTCATTGTCGGACATGTTTTTTGAACTCCTTTTTATATATATATATATATATAGACCACCCTTCAAATCAATATCCACAACTCAAAATCTTTGACTTTATTCTTTATATAGAGATTAAAGAGATTTTTCTTTTTAAGGAAATAAGTGGATTTCTTTAAGCTTATACCCGTGAAAGAAAAATATAATAAAAAAAAAAATATATATATATATATATATATATATATATAATTTAATGTGCTATTCATTTATTAAGTAATTATTAAATAGAATTAAGTTAATGATTATATATAAAATAAAAAAAAAATAAAAAAAAATGAGATAGAGTAGTAGTAGGCAGCGTTGGAGAGCTGGACAGAGGAGCCCAAAAGGAGATCCAGTTTGAGATTCTTGTGGGCACGAGGTTCAGTATTTGCGACACGTGTGGAAGTTGGGCCCATAGGCCCAGTACAAAAGCATATCAACCTTCATCATTTCCCGAATCCCTCTTTTTCTGTGTGTACCCCCAAAATCGTGTAACTTCCATTTCCATTTCCAATTCCAGTTCCAGTTCATCGTTCAACTCATATCTCCACCTAACCACCTCTCGCTCTTGTTCAAACATCGCCACGCAAACCATACCCGCTTAAATCTACTACGAGCATATATTATCTTCTTGTCTTTTTCTTTTAAAGTTTTAAAAATTGTTGATGGACTTAGCTTTAAAACGCATATGGTAAGGATCGATATTTATTGTTCTTGCTAGCACACCATTTAATATCTAATTTCATTTATAACAACTCAAACTCACGACTAGACACGTGCCATAATTCATCCTCTTAACTTTGATCCCCAACACTCCCATAACAGTCCTACTGCACGCGCACCCACCCACCCTCCCTCGTTTCTCCACTCCAATAACTCTCCCATCCTATTTCTTTTTCAAACCCATCCTTATTTACCAATAATTATTGTTTCTAGAAGCTATAAATCTAAATTGAAACTCACATTTTTTTTATTATTATAATAAATAAAGTTTTTATTTATTTTATTTTATTTTACTTACTTAAAAAGAAGAAAAGAAATGGGGAATGGACCACAAGGGATGCTTGACAAGTCGTGAGAAAAATCCAACTGGCAGATAGGATGGTGTTAGTGGAAGGCATTTGCAATTAGAAGTTAAGGAGGAACGCTATAGATAGGGTCCACGTCGTTCGGAGATTTCCACGTGGAGGCCTAAATTGCCTTTGTCGTACACGTCTACGACTAGGGCCCAACTGAACCAGCAAATCAATTATTCATAACTCAAAGAACTCAAACGACGTCGTTATCGAAGATCTTAAGAATTCCACTCCATCCTCCCCCGCACGTGAGCTGGATGCCAATTCCCACCACAAAACCTCATCCATAAAAATACCCAACTTTCACATGTCAATTCCTTTCTAAATTCAGAATTCCCCCCTTCTTTTAGTATAAATTAACGAAGTTCAAGACTTTAATATCAATATACATAAAAAAAAATCAATAAAAGTATAGTTAATTTAAATATAGATAATAAGACTTATCAATCACCATTTAAATAAAAGTATCACATACCCACTTTTTATAATTTCTGTGAGATTATGGATTTAATATCGTTTTTAGTAATTATTAAATGCTATCTCATAATCGTTATGGTTACTATATAGAATTAAATTCAATTATTTTTTTGAAGCTACCAAGTAATTTTTTCTACATATATAATCCATATCACGTGACTACATTCACCCCCTCTTGTCATTTTTTTTTCAAGAAACATTATTCATTTTAATGAATATTTTTTGGATTAATTTCCAGAAAATAAAATTCTGCATGTCATACAAGAAATTATCAATATTAATGTCACATACCATAAAAAGAATAAGATTATAAATAATATGGAGAGGTCAAGATTATTGTTAAGACTAATGGTGGAGTATCATAAATAGTAGAAATGAGAAATGGGCACGTGGGATTGGTACGTGGAAGACAAGGTAGACACACATGACATGCACGAAAAAGAGGAACGTAGAGGATTGTGTATTAATGGCCATGACATCCACATTCACTGTTCCTTAACTCACAAGTCAACTCAAAACTGTTTTTCTTCTTAGTAAATCCAATTAACATTATATTATTTCAACAACTTTTATTTTTTTCCCAGTAACGCTTTTAACAATTTTTGGAGGATTACACACGTGGACATTACTTTTTAATGCAGTTAAAAATGAAAAGTGACAAGTAAGTTAACAGCGTGGTAAATACACAAGGAAGGAAAGTCACCTCACCCGGGGGAGTGATAAAAAAGTATTAATAATTTTTATAAATTAAAAAAGGTGAATCATTTCCACGGTGGATTGTCGTTTGGAGACAGAATGTAACAGACCATGAAAAGTTTGGTAACAACATTAAAATCCAAGGTCTTGTCTTGTATCATCTACGTTATATAATTTTAAATATACATATATATATATATATATATATTTATATATATTTATATTTGTCCCCATGTTATTGGATGTTTAAAATCTTGCCATTTCTATATAGTTTGGTTCTCTGCATCATTTTCACTTAATTTTTCCTCTGCTCTCTGTATAAAACCCCCTTGCTTCTCAGAGAATCACTGTAATTACAAACAAGAATAAAATTGTGTTTAACCAATTTCAGAGAGAAAGTGTCGGCGGAAACAACTGCAAGAAGGGGGAGTAAATGGGTGTAATTTTTGCATCTCTTTTGCTATTTTTTCTCATTGTATTGTCGTATATTTATTTAAACAGAACCAAGAGGGCAGGCATTAGAGATGGAGCTAAGCTCCCTCCTGGTTCTTTAGGGTGGCCTTATATTGGAGAAACCCTTCAGCTCTATTCGCAAGACCCTGATTTGTTCTTCGCCGCCAAACAGAAAAGGTTGCGGCTTTTTGTTTAGTTTTGAATGTCTTGATTGCTAAGGTAAGTTGGTGCTGACTTGTACGTGGTTTGCTTGTTTTTTTTTTTAGGTATGGGGAGATTTTTAAGACGCATATACTTGGATGTCCTTGTGTGATGTTGGCTAGCCCCGAGGCGGCGAGGTTCGTGCTGGTTACACAGGCTCATTTGTTTAAGCCTACTTACCCCAAAAGCAAAGAGCGTTTGATCGGCCCATCTGCCTTGTTTTATCACCAAGGCGACTACCATTGCCGCCTTAGGAAACTGGTTCAGAACTCTCTTTCTTTGGACGTCATCCGGAGCCTGGTCCCCGATATCGACTCCGTAACCACCTCCGCTCTCCACTCCTGGACCGGTACCCAGCTTATCAACACTTTTCATGAAATGAAAAAGGTTGGCTTGGTTTGGTTTGGTTTCTTTTTAGTCCTGGGCCGTATAGGTTTTGGGTCGGTCACTTTTTTAAGTCTTCAAATTTGTGTTCTTTAGATATCCTTTGAAGTTGGGATATTGGCCATTTTTGGGCATTTAGAAGCTGCTTACAAAGAGGACCTGAAAAAAAACTACAGCATTTTGGACGCAGGCTACAATTCTTTCCCCACCAACATTCCTGGAACTCCATACAAAAAGGCACTCTCAGTAAGTTAAAACCTAAACAGAAGATGGAAAATTCTTATGTTATATTATATATATTTATGTTAAATTAGTTGTCCCCTTGGACAGGCTAGAAAGCGGCTAAGTAAAATCTTAGGTGATATAATCCACGAAAGGAGGGAGAAGAAGGTGGGCAAGAAGGATCTTTTGGGGTGGTTTCTGAACTCCATAGATGAAGAAGGTGAAGCTATGAGCGATGCCCAAATAGAAGATAACATAATTGGGGTGCTTTTTGCGGCTCAAGACACCACAGCCAGTGTCATGACTTGGGTCGTCAAGTACCTTTATGACCAACCCAAGCTTCTTCAAACGCTAAAGGTGAGTAGTTATGTACCCTTAAACAAAGTAATTTTTTGAATTCAAAATCACGATTATTTATTTAAAAAATAATTTCTTTTTTCCTTTAGAAAGAGCAAGAGGAAATTTTAGAGTTCAATTGCCAAAAAAATCAACAGTTGAATTGGGTTCAGACAAGAAACATGCCCATGAGTTATAAGGTAAGTAAGGTTATGGTAACCCATCTACTTAAATTTAGTGGTGACTATTTAGGAATAAATATATATTTTATTAGAAGTTTAATCTTTAATTCAGGTAGTATTGGAGAGCTTAAGGATGGCGAGCATTATATCATTCACATTCAGGGAGGCTGTAGCTGACGTGGAATACAAAGGTGAGGGAATAGAGCCCAAAAGAGAGTTGTTGATGGAAGCTTTATATATATATATATATATATTTTAAATAATAAAATGATTGAGTTTGTGAAATGACGTGGAATAGGGTACTTGATTCCAAAAGGTTGGAAGGTGATGCCTTTGTTTCGAAACATCCATCGCAGCCCAGAATATTTTGCCGATCCTCACAAATTCGACCCTTCTAGATTTGAGGTAAATTAAATTTTTAATGTTAATTTTGGTGTATAATGGATATTTGAATAATAATTACGGAAAATATGGGCGTTTCAAATTTCAGGTTGCACCGAAACCCAATACGTTCATGCCATTTGGCAGTGGAGTTCATGCCTGCCCAGGGAATGAGCTTGCCAAGCTGGAGATCTTGATCCTGATTCATCATCTAGTCACCAAATTCAGGTACTGAAATTTGAAAACTGTTTTGGACTTTTTGAGTAATTATTTAAATTATTTATCTTTTGCTGAGTTGGCAGGTGGGAATTAGTTGGTTCGCAAAACGGGGTTCAGCATAGTCCATTTCCTGTTCCCTTTCAAGGCCTTCCAGCACGATTTTGGAATATAGCCCACCAGAAGACCGTACATACCAAAATGGACCCGAACTAAGTGGACCAATCTTCCACCCAATAGCAAAACCCAAGCCCGAGTCCAAATACAAGTCCAGGCCCATGCCCGAATCCGAATCCGAATACAAGCCCAAGCCCACTTTTTTTTTTTTTTTTTTTCTTTCTTTCTTTTTCACAAAGGTGGCAATATGTCCTCTACTTGTACGCGGTCGTTTGAAGAATTGATTTTCTCATACGGAGCTTTCGTTCAATAGTAATATTAATTAGTCAGTATATATATATATATTCAAGTGAAGTTAGATTTACTTTCATGAAATTAATTTTTTTTAATATGAAAATAAGAAACTTTACACTGAGTTTTTAGGGTAATATTAAAGACAAAACTACATATTATTATTTAAGTAAGACAACTATATATATATATATATATATATATATCGACAAAAATAGAGATCCTACATTATTTATTATCTTTTAAATTAGAGACGTCCATATTACTCGTGGAGTTGGAGACCTTTTAGAACAGAAAGGGAATTCTCTATTTAGACTGTAAATGAGAGAGAGAGGAACATTATTTATCGGTGTGATAAATTGTGTTGGTGACGAAATCATATTCCCATTCCTACTCTACTCAATATATATGCCTTTTATATATATTAAAAAGATAAAATAATTAATTTTGAGATGATAATTGTAATATATTTTTTAATTTAAATATTTAAAAATAAGTAGGTAAAATATTGATTTTTTTACAAATTTTTAATAAAAATTATATTAAAAAATTAGAGTAATTATTTTTAAAAAATAACAAATAAGAATTTTTCTTTCACGAAGTCTAATAATTTTGGCTTATAATTACCGTTTTGGTCCATCAAAAAATAAATGAGAAATTTCGTCCCACCCAGCTGACATCTATATCCTAAAGACAATTTTTTTTTTTTTTTTTTTTTTTGGAATATATAAAATA